CTTTAGGATTTAATGATGGAGAAAAATTAATTCCCATCTGTAGATATTCTTCCAGGTATCGGGAGTAGCTTTCCATCTATGCACTTGACCCCCAGAATGACACACATCTGTTGAGCAACGCTAACAAAATCAAAAGCAGCAGATTAACCTTGAAAATGTCCTGATACGGGATGACAGGCAACCTTTTTATACTTTCCTGTTCTGCTAAATTTTCTTCAATGAATAGGTGTTACACAGCCATCCTTGGGTCAAGAAAGTAATAAAGGTAGCCTTCCTCATATGAGACTTGTTATCAAATTGTATACTTTAAATATGTGCAGTTTGTGTTCTGTCACATACTTCTTTAAAACAAAAGTCATTGTTGAAAAAATAATTACTGTAATGGAAGTGTGACACAGTGTAGCAAAAACATTAGAGTCAAGAAGATTTCAAAGCACAGGGTAACCCTTGAGTTTACCTGTGCAGCGCCTCGAAGGAAGAATGAAGTTTGCCAGGCAGGAAACAGAAGGCAGCAGGATGAGCATTCAAGGGGGAGGGGATCAGAACAGGATACACAGCTGGAAGTACTGGGAGTGACAGTCACCACATCACTTTCAGCCCTGGGTTCTAATGATTTGTACACATGTCACCTCCACTCCTAACTTGCTGGACTCACTTCTGTAACCCTTAAAAAGCTTAGTAGAGAATCTTGCAGGCCTAGTAGAGTGCTCCCAGAGGAGGACAATACCAATGCACAGATGGGGCTGGACCTCCCCAGGCACCTACCTACAGAAGACATTTGCAAAGGGAGAGAAGGCGGGTGAGACAGAAGCTACACATATGTGGGTCTCTGGATGGGGTGGCAGGAGACACAAAAATGGAAAGAACTTCAGTGTGCGGTCCCTTTGGAGAAAGGAGCTTTGCTCTCCCTCTGTTCTGGACCCAGCCTTGCTCTGGCTCCATGAAGAGTGAAGGATCTGCATAGCCTGTGGGGCCCCCCGGGGTTCTGTAGCTGGCTGGGAAGGACAGTCCTCCTTCAAAAGCAGCAGCCCCAGGACCTGAGGTTTGCCAGCAGACACCTTATCAGGGTGTCTGATAAGAGGACCTAAAAGGTAGGAGTGGCCTGGTAAGGTAGCTGACCCCTCCACAAGCAGGCTGGCCAAATGCCGGTAAGAATGCTAATATGACGTTTGTACCCACAGCATGGCACCGTTTAGAACACTGAGGTTATAGCCATTACTTTTGCGTTCACAGTTGTTTCAGTGTACCACCAAGAAAACATCAGCAGGCAACGTGAGAGTATATATTAGGGACAAAGTCTTTGATTTTATTCTCGCCTCTCCTGCACAAGACTTCCACAGAGATTTTTTTTTATAGCAGTTACTTCCACCGTTTTGAAGTCTCTCTTCACTCCCTATCGCACAAAACAGAAAGAATAACGGTTATTAATTACACAGGTGTTTTAGTTAGAATTTAAAGTTTACTATCTATGAGATACATGATCTTACGGTTTGTCATCCTAATTCAGGTCATCTGTAAGCTCATCTCTGGTTCTTTGCTGAAGAGTCGGTGATCAACAGTCATCCTGTGGGTTTTAGGACACACCAAGAAATTAAAAATTTTAGGTGGGCATGGTGGCACGCGCCTGTAGTACCAGCTACGAAGGCAGGAGGATCGCTTGAGCCTAGGAGTTTGAGGCTGCAGTGAGCCATGATCGTGCCACTTCGCTCCAAACTGGGTAACAGAATGAGGCCCTGTCTCTAAAAAATAAATAAAATATGCCGGGCGCAGTGGCTCATGCCTGTGATCCCAGTACTTTGGGAGGCCGAGGCAGGTGGATCACCTGAGGCCAAGAGTTCGAGACCCGCCTGGCCGACGTGGCAAAACCCCATCTCTCCTAAAAATTCAAAAAATTAGCAGGGTCTGGTGGCGGGCGCCTGTAATCCCAGCTACGCGGGAGGCTGAGGCAAGAGAATTGCTTGAACCTGGGAGGCGGAGGCTGCAGTTAACTGAGATCACGCCATTGCACTCCAGCTTGGGCAACAAGAGCGAAACTCCATCTCTAAATAAATAAATCGATAAATAAATAAAATAATTCTATTTTGTGTTAACGGTCTTAGAAAAAATTCTGTTCTTTTTTTTCTTTTTTTTTTTTTTAAATGAACTTAATGCTGGAAACTATGTCAATTACCATTCTTGTCCATTTGATGGTGTGTGAGTAATTCCCCTCCCTAGTACAGATGCCTCCAAATGGCCCAGATCTACAGACAGCACAGAGGAGTTAACTAAATGGGACTCACAGTATTTTTCACATGCCAAAGCTAAAACTAACTCATGTCCAGATATAAACTCTTAAATTCCCTTGAAGAGAAGGAAAACGTACCAATCTACGTGGAGGATTTAATTGTGGATGTCTTCTCAGTGACAGCATCTATCCAAAATAGGCCAAAATCATCCTTACAGATGATATTTTAGTCCATTTCAGGAACGATATTTCATCTTCATATAATAATTTCCAAAAACTGAATCTCAGGGTAAGAGTCGAGCTTGTTCTTTTTCTTCAGATGAATAGTTCATTATTACCATAATTGAAAGAGGTTTATTGGGCATCTGCATATGACTCAGGCTGTTTAATAGAGTGGGAATCCCTTCCCGTCTCCATTTTCCTACCCAGCCTCTGCCCACCAGACTGGCTCATTTTATACCGTTTCAGTAGAATTTCTTTTTAAAGCAGACATTAGTACTTGGATTTGAGTATAACGCAAGTCACATCAAATGACACCCCTTACCCCATAACAACCTATACTCATGGAACAAAATTCTGGTAAAATACGTTAAGCCATGTAATAGAAGTTCATTCAATTTCAATGGATTTTTGTTCCATGTGCTGGAATTTTAAAGGAGTTTTTCTGGATTTTATGTCCTGCTACTTTTTTTTCTTTTTACATTCCTCTTCACTCATTCTTTTATAAGTCTTTCATATTTTAAAGTTTTATTAATTTTAATAGCTTTTGAGGTACAAGTGGTTTTTGGTTACATGGGTAAATTGTATGGCAGTGAAGTCTGAGAGTTTAGTGTACCCAGCACCCAAGTAGTGTACATTGTACCCAGTATGTAGTTTTTATCCCATGTCCCACTCCTATCCTCCCACTTCTGAACCTCCATAGTTCATCATATCACACTGTGTGCCTTTGCATACCCATAGCTTAACTCCCACTTATAAGAACATATGGTGTGTGGTTTATTTTCTATTAAATGAGAATTTTGCAAAGAAAGAGGATGTAAATCCTCAAAACAGATTTTAATATTTTGTTTTAATGCAAGTAAAGTCAAATTCAACCTGAGCAATAGCTAAACTTAAAATACTGTGTAGTACTGGCTTTATCCCACTGCAGATAAGTAGATACCATACTAATCTTTTTATCCACCATTGTGAGATGGACAGCAGTTGATGTTTAATAGAGTGTTACTGGTGGGATGATTGTCAAACCCATCTACAGGAAATGGGTAGAAGGAAGGGTTCATTCAAAGAAAAGTTAGATTAAAAGTCGATATGATAATAGGTCAGTGGCATGAGTATAAGAACCCAAACCATAAGTATCGGGAAGGAAAACGTAGGTTTAAATCTTCGTGACCTTGGATTTGGCAATGGATCTTAGCTATGACACCAAAAGCATGAGCAACAAAGGAAAAATTAGGTAAATTAAACTTTATTGAAAATTTTTAGAATTTTAAATTTAGAAAATTTAGAACTTTTGTGTGTCAAAGAACATTATTGATAAAATGAAAAGATAATTGACAGGATGGGAGAAAATACTGCAAATCATAAATCTGGTAACAGTCTCGTATCCAAACTATATCAAGAACTCATTCAACTCAACAACAGAAAGACAAACCAATTAAAAAATGGCAAAGGATTTGAATAGATAGTTCTCCAAAGATGTGCAAATGACCAACAAACACATGAAAAGATGCTCAGCATCATTAGTTATTAGGGAAATACAAATCAAAACTATGTTGAGATATCACTTCATACACACAAGGATAGCTATAATTTTTTAATGGAAGATAACAAGCCTTGGCAAGGATGTAGATACATTGGAACCCTCAAACATTGTTGGATTGCAAAATGGTTTCACTGCTGTGGAAAATTGCTTGGCAGTTCCTTAAAAAGTTTAACGTAGAGTTATTATATAACCCAGAAATTCTGCTCCTAAGTGTATACACAAAAGGATTGAAAACATGGACTCGAACTAGTGTACATACCTGCATATTCATGGCAGTGCTATTTACAATATCCAAAAGGTAGAAACAGCCCAAATACCTATTAACAGATGAATGGCTAAACACATTGTTGTATTTCCATGCAATGCAATATTATTCAGCCATAAAAAAGAATGAAGTACTGATATATGCTACAGGGTAGATGAACCTCAGAAACGTTATGTGAAGTAAAAGAAGCCAGTCACAAAGGCCACGTATTGCATGATTCCATTTATATGAAATATCCAGAATAGATAAATCCAAGAGACAGATGGAAATTGGTGGTTGTGAGG